GCAAAGGTGAAATTATTTGCACATGTATTTTTAGAAGTACATAATTATACTATAGTGTGAAGCAGGGATTCACGGAGATGTTTAAAGGGTTATTAGGTGTTTAGTTGTGTGAGAGAGGGGTTGTATGTGTGAGAGAGGGGTTGTGATGCGTGAAAGAGAGTTTGTGAATTGTAGGGTTATTAAGGGTACGTATGTACGAGGAGGGGTTGTGATGTGTATAGGATTATCAGGGTACGTTTGTATGAGAGAGGCATTGTAATAATTTAGGGTTATTAGGGGTAGGTATGCGAGAGAGGGGGGTTGAGACGTGTAAGATTATTAAGAGTATGTAGTAAGGCTATTAGATGTACGTATGTAGATGACAACTATTGTGATTTTTACCGAAAGTTCGTTTTTGCTCTCCTGGAGTCTCTCTCTGTCTGCCGAGTCGATGATGTAAACAATCCCATCTACAGCGGGGAAGTAATCCAGCCAAACTCTCCGCACTTGGGAAGAAAAGAAATATATCCTCATATGTAGCTATTTTCATGTAATTTCGATTGAACATTTGAACGTATTATTTTTTAGTTACAAAAAGAATCACACATATTAGCGTATGCCCAACACTGCCTTATCTTGAGCAGTGTAAACTGTCCTCAAATGTTGTGAAACACTTTCTAATATTATGGATATGTTTTGAACTTTAAAGGGACATATCTTTAAAACAATGTTTCATATGTGTCCCTGCTGTCCTCTTTGCTTCGTAACTGACACAGTATAAGACGAGTTTTCACTCGCTAAGATCGTACTAACCCCAGAGAACGCACTTACTTGTCATATGTCCGCCGAGATCGTATGCCTGTATGGTAAGTCCACCAATAGTCATCTCTTCACATCCTATGGAGACAAAGAATATCACGGGTACTTACAAATGTTCATAGACAGCATATGCTGGGCCAACGTCTGATTGTGGTTGTATTGTTGACTGAGCGTTGGTGTTATCCATAGAATATTTCCAATTAGTGTCTTATATATTAGAAACTCCATATCATATACAAAAAAAACCCTCTTGTTTATTCAATAATCAAAATTTACTTGATGTTGCCATTTATTGATTCCAGTTATATATTCTGAATTCCATCCTGGCTCAACGTTATAAATTTCAAGATAACCTTCGCCAAAGTTGATTTACATGTAACTTTGGGATGCAAGAAACTTACGTGCGGATAACATTGGGATAACGTGTTTAACCAACTTTTTGCCGATTTGTGCCAACGTTACATCCTACGCTTTCTGACCAATAATGGTGGTGGACCATGAGGAGTCATCGGGGCCTTAGGACACCCAATCCCCTGTTTCGGTAATGATACACAAGGACCCTTTTGAACCATGCATGCTTTTATAAAGCTCTAGACCCCATATAAGACATTGTCACTTGTACAAGTTCCACGCTCTCCCATGCCCCACGCCAGTCCCTCATACAGGTAAATGAAAATGCATTAATCAACTCACGTGCCTGGCCTGTCGGCGGGAACTGCACAGCACGTCCTGTCTTCAGCATGGTCAGTAGGGTGGACTTGCCCGCGTTGTCCAGTCCAACAATCATGATCTTAGCGGTTCTATTGAAGCCTTTGAAAAATCAGCACTTATCTTTATTAAATCTATCACAAGTATATATTGCTCATTTTTAAGGTGTTTTAAATGTCAGCTCTTGACTTCCATGCATGACGTATTAGTGAAATAAATAGAGTATTCTAATTGAAACAATTGAATTTTCTGTTTCCTACATTTACCGAAATGAAAGAAGTCATGCAGTGCGCCATCAACATTTTGGGAAATGAAAAGAATGAATTTATTTACATTGCGTGTATTTTTTTATTTCACACTATTGCTAAATTACATCACACAGCTTTCTCGTGTATATGATACGTATATCTTAAAAGAGACCCCCATAACTCTTTTGAAAAAGTAATTATAAAATAGATAAAATAAACACTTACATGATTGGGGTTTAATGAGACAGTATTTAAAAGTTAATCTAAATTATCATTATCCGTACAAATTTTTTAGTTGAATATGCGTATGGATAAAATGAGTACGTACCGAAAAATTGCAGAACTGACTGCATCCAATCCCAGAGAAACATGGTTTTGTTGAAGTATTGTCCTGGACGCTGGCAATGCCGTTCTAGTTTCGTGTGTAAAAGGTTAAAGTTGTGCTATAGTTGGTATTTCAAGATATTTATACTGGAAGAAAACACAATATCATTAGCGATTGCTTGGCTGGCGCTGACATAGCACAGAATGACACGGCACATGTAACGTAAACACGGCCACGTGGCCAAGGTTTGTTCGAGTTATCCCCCTTACTACCAAACGAACAGTATTGCGTCAGCTATGGAAATTATAGGAACGTCTTTATAAGGGTTCGAATGATAGATTTAAAAAAAAATTGTGATCGAAGTTTGATTGAATTAAAATATTTCTTTAACAAATTAGAACAAGATGTAGTCGCGATCGGTGGCATCTTCAGACTTGTTAACCGAGAATAAATAATTTTGACTAGTTTCTAAATATAGAATTGTAGGTCATCTTAAAAAATTATGTACAATATATATATTTTGTAGCTTAGTCCTTAGCTTGGTAAGAACCGGAGCAAGGACGTAATGTCTCCTCAACCATTCAAAATAATCTACGTGTCATTCTTTACATCAAACACGTGTCGTGAAATGTATGCTATTATTTGAGGAATCCTCCTCCACACTCATCAATGGTACAGCTATAGAACAATATTTGGCAGGCTAACAGAACGGTACCAGGTACGTTTGGAAATCAAGGCAAACATTTGGGCTTACAGCTTTTGTTTGCCTATTTCATATTTTAATTTACTGTGTGAGCTTCGCTTGTACTAATTGCGGTCATATCCGATACCGGTCCTTTTAATTAAGACCATATACACATTAAATATCACTGACAACGGTATGATAATAATAAATGGATAAATGTACCTATTATCTGCATTCATATAAATGATGTAAGAATATCTTTACATAATTTAACATATATTTAATCATAAATACGCTATGTCTTTTCTAGTCACTTAACAGTGTACAAATGTACTTGTAAAACTATTTATAGATGGCTTTACTCGGGGTGTTACCTCATTTTCCGACAGCTATTTCATTCACAGTCAAATTCAAAAGGAACAATTAACTTGTGTAAGTCAGATCAAAACGTTTCGCTGATTCTAATGAATAAATGCGAATGCCTGATATATTATAATTCCTACCCAAAGTTACGTCATTAGTTGACTCATACGGACGTATCTGCTTATTTAAGCTATTTTTAATATTCCAGCAATTCACATAGTACTAACCATCCAGGAGGATTGTACTCTAGTTAAACCATTTTTAACTGTTTTGATAGGGTTTTTATATATATTTTTCAATTTATTTTAGTTCTGGTTTGAAACATATTTTGTTCTTGACGTATATACTCATTTCCTGGTTCGGAATAGATATCTACATATTTATTTCCGTTTTCGTTTTTATATCGAACGATTATGACTCC